CTGAAGAGATGGTGTTGTCCTTTAAGTAGGAAGGCCGTGGTTTTGATGCATTATAGAGGCCTCCTTCTAGCTGTTTTGATACTTACAGTGGAGAAAGCACTTGGCAGCCTAAGGTGGACAGATTACTGCCCATCCAGTCCACCAGTTCTCCTATATTAAACCTGTTTGGTTTAATATGATGAATAGTGACTGCCACAAATTGGGACTGCTCTTCTCCACTGTGGAGGAGGAAACGTTTTGCATAATTGAAATACTTTGTAGTAGGGACGTAGAGTTCAAAATCCATTTCAAGGTCACATGTACCCAAAGTATACAGAGTCCTCTGCTCAAAATTGTGCCTTTTTAAAACAAGCATACCAAGGCTATTTCGGTTCTGATCACCATGCTCAGTCTCGCAATAATCAAAGCCTGTTATCTGGATCCTTGCAATATCGTGACTCACCAGTTAATGATGACAGTGTCTCACACATGCATCAGCTGTTGCTTTTTAAGATATGAAAATCATGAACTCCCAGTACAACTTAATCATCAACATTTCTTTTTCCACTTCTGTTAATTCACCGGCATATTAACTCTTAAAATATGGTATCTTCTCTTCTGACAGTAACAAGATGTGGAGGACATCTCTTGGCTATACTGGTTTCTTGTAATACAAAGCTGCCTAAGAAGCCCCAAGTTGCAGTATGAGGGCTGAAAAGGTCTGATTAAATGATTACTGTCCCCACAACCAAGAACAAAGCATGTTCATTTAAAAACACCTGCAAACTAACAATAGCAGAAAATAAAAGTAATATATAAAGGGTTTAGCTAAGTTTTTGCTTGTTTGCTTGTTTGCCCTATGGATAAAGGAGAGAGAAAATGTGAGTTTCCTAAACTCTATTCTATGTTTCCAGATCGTACTCTTACCCCTTCCCGTTCCGACTGCGTCCTGCAGTCCCCTGGGTCTGTGCGCTGGTGGGTACCTTAAAATGGGCTCAGACTTGGCAGATGTTGCATGTGTGGAAGGAGATGGGCGTCAGCCAAGCATGTGGTACCCATGCGGGCTGCCGCTGCCGTGGTTTGTGTGTGTGGACTGGGAACGGCATGTTGAGAGGGCCACAGGGCAGGGGATTTGTCTCTTCTGGCCTCAGCCATCTAAAAGTCGGCTGTCTGAAGCTAAGCTCTACATTTAGTAGAGAGCAATATGCATCTCCAGAGGGTAACTCCTCCCAGATACCTTAGATGTCTATCTTAGGACAGCATGAATTGCCTTGGAGAGATGCCTCCTCTTCTCTACTGAAGAGGCCATGCAGCCACACATGTCCCTGATAAGCTTCAGCAACTAACTTTTAGGTGGCTGAACTGGGGGATATACAGAGCTACCTAGAGGATCACAATTAAAGGTAGCATACTCAAGAAAATTGTATGAGCAGTGGCAAAGCAAGAGGTCCCTGAGTTCAAATTAGGGATTTTCAGCTGATTTGCTGGATGAGCTGGTGGTAGCAGCGGTGGTGCTGGTGGCATTCTTCTGCCGGAGAACACCAATCTGATTGTGCCGGTTTTTTATCCACCCCCGAAGGTCGCCACTGTGAAGTCCACCAGATAAGCTGGTGGTAGCAGTGGTGGTGCTGGTGGCATTCTTCTGCTGGAGAACACCAATCTGATTGTGCTGTTTTTTTATCCACCCCCAAAAGGTCGCCACTGTGAAGTCCACCAGATGATTGGAAACTACATGTGGGACCAAAAGAGAAACGTATCTTTCGATATTGGTGTGAATAAGGAGAGCCTGCTGCCTCTCTGGTGGAATGGATCGGAGCCTTTGTGGGTGACAATGATGAAAGCAAAGAAGAACGTTTCCATGTACTACTGGCCAGGTTAGTATGTCAAAAATTGCTACCATCTTAATGGTGCATCTTTAAATCTTAGCACTCCATACTCTGTAGGATGGCTCCTTAATACACTGAAATACAGACAAGAATTACGAATGCTTTACTAACCACTTGTAGAAATGAATTATCTTTTCTTAGGCCATGACAATTTGCATATGCTTAGAAAGGAAAAGACTGAAGTGTCACTGGAGGTAGTGTTCCACCAAACGTTACCAGGGGGTTGCTGGCTTGCAGAGCATTCCCTCCTCCACCAACTGCTCATTCCTCTTGCCCACCTGTAGCTTCTGCTGCGCTGATGGTTCACAGAGCAATGCTGCAGACCGTGTCACTGATCAAAGTTAAAGAGTAACCATCCTTCCCCAAATCTTGTTTGGTTTTAACCTGGAAATCAGAAGCTGAGAGCTGATGATCTGCTCTGTGGGTACAGCAAAATCCAGTTGAAGGCAAAGCAACCTGGTCTGGTGGGAGGTGTCCCTGCCCATGGCAGGGAGGTTGGAACTAGATGATCTTCAAGGTCCCTTCCAACTCAAACCATTCCATGATTCTGTGAGTCTATGACCATTTGGTGAGCTGGAGTGAGCACTCTTGTCCTCCATCATTAACTCAGCTGAGGTCCCAAGTGCTCTGAGTCTGAGCCATTCATTTGGAGGGACTTGGCCTTTCTGTTCCTCATTTGTTGGGTATTGGACCACTGAAATCACTAGGGATGTATAATAATAAGTCTTTTTTAACAACTAGGAGTGTACCCTTAGGCTGTACATTTAGGGACCTACATGGAAATAAATGTTCCAGCTGTGCAGCCAGACCAAATCCCTTGCAAGTTACCCAGATTCTCAAGTTTTTCACCTTTTAAACTCTGCTGCCGAAGCAGTATGCAAATATCCTCATATGTGTAACTGCAGGCTCGAGGACCACGTGTTAGAAGAGCCGTACTGAATACAGCCAGTGCCAGTGGGTAGGGCAGCAGCAGCTGACTCATGCTGCGGGCTCCCGGCCAGCTCGTCTTCTGCATCCCAACGCTCGTGTGCCTGATCACGCTCTTTCCATGCCATGTGGCTACTGGCATCCCAGAAAAAAAGGCCACAGTTCTCAGGAAAGGGAAGAAAGAGCAAACTAAGATGAAAAACATGGAAAAGCCATGCACGGTGTTTCTACAGTACTGAAGAGCTAAAAGTTCTGAGGGTGACAATACTCACTTAGAGACTCAAAGGCAGTCCAAGGGACTGGAATTGCAGACTAGGTATAATGGTTTGGATCAGCCCTCAGAAAAACTCCTGCTTCTCATTGGAGATCACCCAAGTGACCTAACAGCAGTACAAACAGTGGGATATAGAAATTATACAAGAATGTAGAAATTCTTCTAAAGATATAAAAAAAGACCCGTTTCTATAGACTATTCATTTTTAACTACTAATGTAACTGCACCGAATAGGTATAATTATGTATTGAATAGATGTAACAGTCTACAGACGGCTACTGAGATCCAAAAAACCAGTTTCACTTTCCATCAAATGCCTTTGGACTTTACCTAGTTCCTTCATGCTGCCCTCTGAGCAGTGACTCCCAAGGAGAAGACGCATGAGGTGTATACGTAGGTATCCCTCTGTACATATGTATACCCTTCACACTTATCTATCTCCTATCTCCAGCGTAAAACTGCAAAGAACAGCGGAGCCTCCCTTCTTCCAGTTCTTATGTTGCCAAGTGTATGCATTGTCTGATGCTACAGAGGGGGAATTTGTGCCCTGCTGATGCCAGCGGGAGTTTCCGAGCGGATCTGGTATTTTAGCTGTGGACTGTGACATGTACATCTGTCTGTCGTTAATTATTTATTTGTGACCGACGACCTTTGGCAAAATCATCAGTGCCTCAGTTCAGCCAACGCTTAAACACATGCTTATTTTTAAGGCTGTTCATGTTCTCAAAGGCCACATTGGCCACCCGAGGTCAGGCCCAAGGCGGGAAGCAGGGTCAAACTATTGAACTAAAACACAGGGCAACTGGGCCACAGTGGGAGTCCAGGTGTAACTGGAGTAAACAGAAGTCACCCCAAGTGCAATAGTACTTATTTATTACATTTTTTCCATTTTTTGGAACTGTTTTCTAGTTCCATAGTGAGGATGTAATCTTTTCGTCTAGATTTATTATTTTAAAGCTTCGGTTCTTTAAAAGGCATTTGAATGGGGAGTGATGCCAAACAAAACGAAAGAAAAAATAAGGGTTTAATAAGCAGGGTGGGCAGAGGTCCCACAGACATTTGCACTGAGTAGGGTCTGCTATTATTGATTAACTTTCCAGCTTGAGGACATAGTGCTGCTTAGTAATGAATCTTGCAAATCTGATAAAGATCCAAAAAGGAAAAGTTTGGGAAACTGTTAATGAGAACAGCAACGTACAGCCAAATTCGTCACACTTTGTTCTGGAAGATGCTGTTTTCTCTTTAGCCAGTGGTGGAGACAAACGAGACCAATCAAACGTAGCAGAAACGCGTTGCGAATGCCAGCGAGATGATTGCTGGGGTTAACTTGCACCACTGCCTTTTCCTCCTCAGCGCCAGTTCCAAGCTTTGCAAAGTCTGAAGCCGAAATCTGCTGCTTCGTATTCTTCCCTATATTCCTCTCTCATGCACAGTCAGTCTTTAAAGGAAGAACATTCAAACCCCAGCGAACAGGGACACAGAGCCGGAGGGCTGTTGGATGCGAACACCCATCCACCACGGCTTTATCTGTGAGCCCAACGTAAACAGGGCAAAGACAACTCGTGGGCAGAAGTCATCTGGGCTCTCCTGCCTCTACAAGCAGAGGAGCCAAAATACCACCGCACCGGGGGTCCCAGCTGCTGCTTGAAACAAAACACAAACACTTGGCTTGTAGGGACATTTTTCTGCTTTCTTCACGGCATTTATTAGGCAGTTTCTGCTCTTCAAGGCATTTCTGGGGAAAAATTCGTGTATCCGCTGACTGTTTGCTAAGTTAAACACAGCAGGTAATGCCATAGGTGGGGTGAAACACGCAGGTTGCCTGTCTGCAGCACTGCCACTCCAGCAGACGGAGAAGCCCCAGAGGAGTGCGAGAGCATCCCGGTGGTCCCACCAAAGCCAAAGCTTTATATCACTCCTCACGCTCATCCCGGTAGGTGATGTCATCCCAGACCTTCAAACTTCTCCATTTTCCAGCAACCTGTGCAACCTCTTCAGCTGAAGTGCTGTGACATCTTTTCTCAACACTGAAATGAGAGGGGTGAAAAAAAGACCCTAAAGCCCAACCTTTCAACATTTAAACACAGCGTTTGCCAGACTGTGGAGTTAGTCTGGAAAGTTTTCAAAACCTTCTGTTATGACATGAAGTGTCCGACTGCTAAATCAATGTTTAGAAATGCAATTCAAAGCTGGCAGAAGTTCAGGTCTCCGTGTCAGATAGATGAAGAGGAGCCCATATATCACTGCGAAAGAAGTCCTTATTCCTGATCCAGTAGTTCAGGTTTTTAAATAAAGGTTTAGCGTCATACAAAACTGCGCAGAAAGGCATCTAACGTTACATCCTTGTAAATACAGCTCTTCTATTTGTAGTTTAACCAAGAAAAACTTAACATTCCCTTTGTCTGGCTCCAAATCTTTTTAAATTTCCTTTCCCATATTATTTAAATGAGAAAATTTACCATCTGTCCTGGCCTCTACCAAAGTGAAATTTAAATATTAAAGGGTCTTCACGGCCAGTATTTTGGAATTGTAACGAGCCTTAACATCAAAAATCCAATTTTATGTTCTGTTCATCACAGAGGCTGAAAAAAAAAAAGAAAAATTAAGCTCTTGGTACCTAAGCAGCCTGAATTTTCAGTGTTACTGCCACTGAACTGCACACTTGAAGACCAATATTTAGTGGCCAAAATGATTTCTAATTGTTGCTGTCTCTGTAGTCTTTTATGCCACGCTCATCACTTGACAATCTAGAAATAGCAAAGGTATCTGAGGAACTAAAATATCCCAGATCCCCAAGAGGTTAATGCTTCCAGTTAAAATTATCTCATGAGTAATTCTGAGGAACATTATTTGAGAAGATGTCAGTATCCGAAGAGGAAAAAAGAGGCAAAATCATCATATTAGTCATTGGCTATGAGCAATTATCCACCCAAACTAAAACACTAGGCATTTCCAATGTGTTTCCAAATGCATTCTTAACTTCTTCCCTGGCTTTGGAGCCAATCTTTTCCCAGACTCAAGTGTTAGAGGAGAAATCGGCTCCGAAGTTCCACTTCAGTCTCAAGATACTAGCAAAGCCCGCAGAGGACTACTGCATCACCTCCAGCATCTGAGGGAGCTGAAACCCCATGTTTTGCTGCTGGTAGCACCCAGGACATTGTGCAGAAGACTGCAACTGTGCACCCTCAGGGCAGGGTGCAAGGGTTCCTGCTTCCTGGAGATGGCTTCAGGTCAATCATGAAATACCCTTTTTTGATGATTTGGTTAGGTAGCAGCTGGGACACAACGCCATTTCGTGAAGGTGCTGTGTACAGATGTATAGAAGTTTTACTATGGGATGGTATGGAGTCAGTTCTTGTCAAGTTATCTGCAGGCTGTTCATCGAGGTTGCAGATTACTTTCATGGTGGAGAGATAAACACTAACGTATCTCCGTGCAGAAGGGGGAGAATTAAGTCATATAAGTCTGGGGCAACAGGGGGAGAATGAAAAGTGAGCACCATCACACACTCCCACAATTTTTATACAAACAAATTTAGATAAGACTTCAAAACTATTTAAATATGTTTTCACAGAGAAGTAAATTAGTTGACTACGTGTTCTGTTTATTGTTGCAAATAATTAATTCTTACAAATAATTAATAGTAATAGATGGGGTCCATTGAAACACACAAAGAACGTGGAGACCTGGGAGCCACTACCATGGACCACTGGGGGAAGAGACTGAATCTGTCATGTGTGCCAGGGCTTTAATTCTTAGAAAGGGTAAACCCCATCTGACATGTGGCTTTCTGGAACCTCAGTGAAGATTTTTTAAAATTTCCTAAGCTCAGATATTTAAGTTTTTCTAACGGTTCATGGTACCCCTGAGAAGTCATGATCAGAAGTCTCTTAGCCAGCTTACCTTGGAAGTGGTGTGCTTTTCCGTGTGAGCTCACACGGGCTGAGATGCACGACACCAACAAATTCTCTTTCCTCAGTGTCCCAGTAAGCAATCCACTCTAAATCACCCCTGAAAGTAGCTCTGCTCGCTCTAGTGCCCTCTCTGGACTTACACCTCCCATGCAACCTTCTTCCCCCCCGAAGCAACAAGTCAACGACTGCCAGTTGTTAATGCCTATTCCGTTCATCCCAAAGGAGAAGCAAAGTGACCCAAATGTCAGCAGACTCGGGCTATGGCTTAGAGATGCCTTTTTCACCTGACGGTATTGCTGCATACAGAGGCCATTTTGCAAAAAAATCTCCTTTTCTTTTTTTTTTTCTTGTGCCTCAGGAATACACCAGAAAACGCCTAACTGTGACGGGAGGACTCTGGGGCTCTCGAAAGATAATTTGCATGAATCCCGTGTTTCTGAAAGCACAGTTCTTTAAAATATTAATGTTATTCAGCAGCATAGTAACCAGAGAGCGAAAGGGCAAAAAAACCCACAAAAACATGTTTTTGTGTGTTCAGGGCCATGTTCTCCTGTAGGATTTGTTGCCATAAATTTCTGGGCCACAAAACAGACTGTATTTTGCAAGGAAGGTTGCAAGTTACCAAGAGAGTTAATTGGTTTATACTGTTTTAATAAGACCTCCTGGGAAACAAATTTAATAGCGGAGTGCCAGTATCACATAATAAAATGCGGTTTATAGAGGATATTACGACGTAAGATACAGTGTGTCTAACTGGAAAGTATTTGCTGAACTTTCAGGGAACAATATCTAAATCTATTATGTCGGAAGCCTGGAAACGAGGCTATGTGGCCGCAGTAGTCAAAATGAAAACAAGCTAGCGATTTAGGTGGAAACCGTCTGCCATGAGGGAATCAAGAGTTTTATCGTGGGAAGGTCACACAGAGACCTTCCTTCTAGAGAGGGAAATAAAAGGATCCAATGTATGGTTTGCTACAAGCGCTCGTCAAACCAACCTCTCTCCCCTTTTCCCTTCCCAACCACACGGTTTCCTGCAGGGAAGGTGTGAGGTAAGTAATGTCACCGGGAATTTACAAACCTGAACTTGGACCCCACCGTTGTGGGGTCTGTGATCAAGGTGAAACAGCAGAGCTTACCACATTTTTCGCTCGTAGGTTGCGAGGTCGAAATCCTTGGAGTCAGGCCAAGTTATTGCCGCGAGTACTTCAGCGTCCCAACAGACAAAAACTTTGCGGATGCCATCAGCGATGCTCTCGAGTCTTTGCGGTACGTCACTAAGACTTCTGCGATGTGGGGTTTCCTCTCTCAAGGATGAGTATTTGGGTTTGGTATAGGGTGATTTTCAGGATCGGCTCCCAGGTAGGAAGATGGAGGCTGAGACTGGTTTATAGCACTGTCATAGAAACATGGCTATTACAGAAATAAGTAAGATTGGAGGGAAAGATGTGCTCCTCTGTTCGTGCGCATGTTACCACACAGAGGAGACATCCTGACTTACCGTTTTTAATCTGCTGTTTCAAACAACTTCCAGATCAGTCTGTGAGTATCTGTTCACCGACCTGCAAGAGCAGATTTGAAATGTTTGGATTTAGAGAGAACTCCTGGGAATCTGGAAATCCTGAAATTCAGCTCAGCGCACTTGTTTAGAGCAGGCATTCATTTTGTGTAAATATGAGACTAGACTAGACTAGACTAGAATAGAATAGAATAGAATAGTTCAGTTGGGAGGGACCTACAACAACCATCTAGCCCAAGTGATGGGAATATATCTCTCAGATAACTCCTAGGAAAAACACATGCTCCACACCCAGCTTTCCAGTTCCACCATCTCTCATCCAAACATTAACATGTGACAATCTCACACAGGTTATAAAATCAGTGAAGACTGGACTGCCACTCATGGAGCCAATGCCTTACCTTAGCTATAACTAAGCTTCCTCTTTTAAAACCTTGGTTCCATAATTTATACATTGCTAGAATACACTTCTGCTTTACTACTTGTGAACTGCCATAGCGATTTGAATCTGAAAAGTTTCATATTCGTATGCTGAGTGTTGATCGTCCTTGAAATGAAGGCTCCAAAATGATGAGAGTGCTGCTGGAGATGTTGCTCCCAGTTGCGCGCTGGGTCCTGCTGCACAGATGCTCACTAATAAGTGTCATTTACAGCATGGGGCTTAGAGAGAAGCTGCTCTAGAACATGTGAGCCATTTGATGCTGAAATGATTTAGCTTAAATTTTAACAAAAAGATATCTGCATGTGACGTGAGGAGGTCATATGTGCCATAGGAGGCTCTCTGGAGCTTCTGTGACACTTTTAATTCCATGAATAAAAAAGGGAATGGAAAACTGAATATAGACACCAGATCTGACTTCTGGTGGAAGCCCAGAATTATCATAGAAAGGTTTTTTGGTCGGGTATCATGTGGAGATGGGTCAGGATACGCTTGAAGCTTCCCGCCTGGTTTCTATGAAGCGAGGAGCATAAGGCTGCTCAGGACAGTTTGCAGCTTTGTAATTGTTGACGTGATTAAAAGGGAGGCACAAACTGTTAAAAGCTCCAGCCCTTCAAGCTGCTCTTTTGGGTAGCTGGAGCCCATCGAAAACGTTTCAATAGCTAATTCACGAGTCTGCAGTCACAAGGCTCCTTGCTCCTGCCATCAGTGAAAAGAAAAGGGCAGGGACACAAGAGTGTTGGTGAGGTAGCTCGCCAGAGGTGAAAGCTGGTGATTTCAAGAAAAGAGAGAATCCCCACCACCACGATGTCTGCTGCAAACACCAGCTACAGCCTGCGGAAGAGCCCAAATCCTACAGATAGTCCTGGAGTTGCAGGAGGTCCCATCTCCGGTGTCCATCTACACACCATCCCTCTTGAATTTCTGCCTGGTTTCCACTTCTTTAAACTAAGCACCCTGTCTGCAGCAAGGCGGGAAAGAAGGAAAAGGAACGATTGTTGATAAAATTAATAATCAGTTGTGGCTGTAGATACTGCAGAGACTTACAGTAAGAAAGGAGGGTAGAGAACGAACAGGTTAAAAATCAGGTAGGTTTCCCTTATCCTTTCTCTCATTCATCCTCTTTGTGTAGACCTTTAAAAGCCAGCAAAGAAATTTCAGCGCAGCTGGGCCAGCCCATAAGAAGTGAAGCCTCTGAAGTGCCTTTACTGTAGGCGAATTCATTCAGCAGGGATTAGCATCTCTAGATGCTAAGAGTCTTGAGCTGTGTTTTATTGTCATCTGCATCCTTTGCAAGAGCTTCTGACTCTTGAAGCTGTTGAAAGGCTAGCAAATCCGGTGTGTTTCCTTTCCACACCCCAGCTAATTGAAAAAGGCCATTAGGCTGAGGCTGGCACTAGCCACATGTGGGAAAACAGCCTGTGGCGAGGGCACAGTGCCTGGAGCAGTGCCTTGCTCAGTTGCCCTGATGGTAGGTATTAGTGGCTAATGAACTGCACTTACGCTCCCACCATTAGCAAACCTTGCTGGGACTTCAGGGTGGAGAGGGTAAGCTCTTTATGGTGGCGTGGTGGCCTCAGGGTTGAGTTTGGGCATGGGAACGTCCTGACCCATCTTAGCTTCACCGGCATTGAAGGGAGTCTTATCAATGCCCTCTGCAAGGGCAGGAGTACCTAACTTATCAGGGAGCCACTGAGCTCCTCTTGCAACCTTCAGGAATCTTCGCCTGTCTCTTCAAACAGGTGCTTTGAGACCATTATTTAGACCAAAAATACTCACAACTAAGTCAAGCACCCGTTTTTGGCAAGTAAAACTAAAACCTCCCTTATGCCTTTTCCACAACTATAATTTAAGGGCTGTTGTAATCTACCTGCTTTCCTGGACATGTGTCATGAAGTTTGCATGGCACTGGCAAAGCGTGCTGATAAAATTTAAAACCCTTTTTGGTATGGCCATCGATGCTGTCCAGCTTTCTTCAGCAAGCTTTCCTTAACCATGTCTGAAAGTTACTGGTGATGGGAGAAGACAGGACAAACACACAGTTAGAAAGACAAATTACTTCTCCCATGCAAGCTATGATCGGCAATGGCTAGTTTTCTTAGGAAAACAGGCGAAAAACAGGAATAAAGCCAAACTCAATCTTAAAAGCTCTGGATGTGCTATACCCAATCTCCTCTGCAAACTCCTAAGCATGCCCCATAACTGGAGCTTGTCCCATTGAGGTCATGTGCAAAGTTGAACGTTCATCCTTACAGCACTGAGCCCTCACTAAGCAAGCTCACCGCAGCCTAAATAAGACCAGTTGTTTTCTGCAATAAATCTCTTTCTTAGCTTCTTTCTAGAGTGAAATGATCATTTAGTTACAGGTGAGGAGACACAAAGCAGTCTAAGTAGCTAATTAACGCAGGCACTGCAGCAGAAGAAAACTGTTTCAATAGGTTCAGTGAGTGTGTACGCAATATAGAAATTACAGGGTTAAATTTTAGAAATTAATTTATGCCTAATACAGATGGAAAGCAATGCTTAAAATGAAATTGAGGGGAGGGAAAGGCTGCTTCATTTGAATGATTTTAAAATCATGAAGAGTGAGAACACTGTTCTGCAGGGCCGGAGGTGGAGAAATTCCCACCACGGCAATGACCTTCAGCTTCCCACAGGACTGCGCCTCTGAGGCCTTCAGCAAGCTTACAAATGCAAATGACAGACTCTAATTCATTCATTTGGTCCCTCAACTCTGATTTTTCTCTTCCATCTCACTCATTACACCAGACTACTCGGGTGTCTTTAATCAGAGAAGCTGGTCCTGCCAGGACATCACACAAAGTCTTCTTGTAGGGATCTTGGTCTGGATGAGGGCATGTATTACGGATGGCACACCCCGTCATACATTAAGTACAGTAGAAAAAGACTGGGTTTGAACTTCATGAGCACAGATTTGTGATTTTATCCACACAACTGCTCTCAGGGAGCTTCACAGTGAACTGTAAAGTGGTCATGAAAATGTAATTAAGCACTGATGTATGTGCAATCCCCACTAATTAGGCTGAGGGCATTCAGTGCAGAAATGTGTCATCAACTAAACTTGTGCAACTCTGAGATTACCTTAGTTTCCCTTTGGTCATATTCCTGAATAAAAAACCCATCTAAAATCTCACCCCAATTCATACCACTTGGGATTTTGCAAGGTCATGGAAGAGTCCGTCCTGAGTTGGCCTTGGTAGTTCAGAAGACCTCACACAGGAGAAAGCCAGAAGTGCCAAACTTTAATTAAAGCACATTTGACTGGTAATGCCTACAATCCTTTTAATAAGGGCATTCAGCACAGAAATTAGTGTATCTTCTGGGTCTTTGTTTTTAAAGGAAAAGCCGCCTTCCTAATTTGAAGAGGTAGGAGAGGGCTGCCAGGCCAGCACATGTGCTTGCACATGGCCGTGTCTACCTGGCACCTCTGATGGGAGTCTCAAGCAAACTCAGGAGAGTTTGGGTGTGAATAACGAGCCCAGCCAGGTGACAATGGGTAGGAAATCACAGGCTGGAGGCAGAAAATGGGCTCCATGTGCTGGTGAGGACAATAACACCAGCAGCCAGGAGGTCTCCATGTGCGTTAGCCTCTCATTCCTTCCCCTCTCTCCCACCTTCAGCAATGGCAGTGCCGAGATGGCTGCGGTGTACTATGAGCGCATCGATGTGGAAGGCCATCACTACGGCCCTTCTTCCCAGCAGCGGAAGAATGCTTTGAAGGAGGTGGACAAAGCCTTGAGCAACATGATCACGCTCATCAAGGTGAGTGGTGTCTGAAAACCCAGCTCCTGGGTGTGTTTGGAAAAGGCTTTTTAAAAACTGTTATTTGTAGTACCACCGAGAGCCTATTTAATGCCTGCTAATTGGATGTGTTGGCTGTAAACTTTTATTTCCTGAGAAACAGAGGCTACCGAGATCGCGTGGAAGTCAAGGCACCATTCCCCTGACTTTTATTTTCATCGATGGCGTTCTAATCCTCCTAGTGGATTATTATACCGATATCCCTGGGAAGTCATAAACCAATATATGTGTTGCTCTGTTTATAAGTAGTGTTGCCAGCTGGGATTTATAGTAGGAGAACCAATCAAAACCACTCGCTTCCTAAGGTTTGTGGAATCAGACAATTAACTTTTATAGCGGTTTTTATGGCATCACTCAGAACCCTGTACTTTAAACTTTGTTTTAAAAAACATTATCTAAATGATTTTGCAGTGAGGAAAGGATACCAAGCTTTTTGGGTAAATGTCAATTCTATGAATATTTCTGACAATGATAAATGCACATTAGAATATTTCACGTGTTTCAGTGAGGAGACAAATATGTATTTCCAATTTCACTAAATTATACGGCGATACCATGACAAAGGTGCTCTTCTCCAGCTGTTTTGGCCTACAGATGAACAGTGGGATAAAACCCTGTGTAAGACCAACTGGGACAACTGATCTGCGGGACTGGGATGTAGCATCTCTCTATTTAGCCCGGGGTGTGTGTGTGGGGGGGTATTTTGGCAAATCTCTCTTTGGCACTAACCTCTTAGACTCTTCCAGGGTAGCAAGTGGATGTCCACCATTATGAGCGGCGGCAAAGCACACCGTGGGGCATTTGTGGCCGTGCTCCTTCTGGCCAACTTCCACTAAGTCAGTGGAGGTCTAATGGGTTTTTAAATTTGTCAGTGGGTATAGATGGTGCAAAACGCTTACCCAGCCCTAATGGCTGTCATGCCCTCGCTTCACAGAGCAAGGGCCTTCAGAATGACATCAACGTCCTCCTCTTCTCCGACCATGGGATGACAGACATCTCTTGGGCGGACAAAGTGATTGAGCTGAAAAACTACATCAATATGAGTGACACCATACAAATGAAGGACCGAGGTCCTGTTGTGAGCCTCTGGCCAGCTCCAGAGAAGCACATGGAGGTAAGTACATTTGTTTAGTTTTGCATTTCCTTGTTTTTTATAACACTGTTGTCTTTTGTTTGCTCATAACATCCAAATTCCAGTCTGAGATGTGTGTAAAAATCAGCCTGAGGCTCTTACCAGGATTCAGACTTGGATCCTGTGACCCTCTTGTGATGCCAGCTTTTGAAGGAAAGCCACACCAGGCAAATTTAAAAAGCTCAATCTTTCACTGTTATTTTGCACAGATTTATGCTTTCAAACCCCGCCACTGTGTGCTTCTGATAAATAGCTAAAAGATTTTAGATCAAAACCCATTTCTAGGATTTTATTTATATATTAGTCAATTTATTGACACTCTAGCTGGGATTTTCAAATGATCTGGAGGAGGTCAGGCATTCATATTCCAGTAAAATCCCATAGAGTTTGAGGAATTAACTCCATTAGACCAGAAGTACCAAAAATAAGTTTCTTTCAATGTTCTCCTTTGAAGAATTTTGATGAATAAGCATGTTGGATTGAATCAACCACAAAAGCCCAAGGCTAGAACTGCAGGACTCTGAGTGACAAATTAAAACAATGCAGAAAAAAAAAATGGAAACCACTTGAAAAGAATGAAAATGCAGCATCTGTAACTAATAGACTAGTGTGTTATAGTTTAACCAGAAACCAGTGCTTGAGAAGTTGTTATTGCTGTCCTCAGAATATAGATGAGTGGATGTAGAAAATTGGCAGTCCATGCTCTAGGTGAATGACTTTATTTTCTATATCATATTTCAGCCAGTTCCAACATATTGTAGCTTGTGCAATTTTTTTTTTTAAGAGAATATTTGTTAATTTTTGCACCCAAGCAGGCTCTCTAGGAATTTTATAGCTGTGATATTGTGAACATTTCAAATTAATGCCAGAACTGAAAGCTGTCTTAGAGGCATGCACAAGCCTATCACTCAATGCTCCTGTAGGGGATCACAGCATTTACAGATGCTCTCTTCAGCCTTAACTGAGAGATCCCTATTTTTGCAGGTCAAACCTTCAATCAAGGGCAAGTATAAGTTGCAATTTCACATAGACATGGGGTTTCATCTGACAAAGCTCTTAAGCACATGCTTCTCTTTCATTAAACAGCCTAATATCCCTAATGAGAATAAAATGCAAGGCCTCACACCATGGTTTTGTTTTCTTCCTTCAATTTCTTTTTAGGACTTCTTACTGGAGCATTTTATTTTTTTTTTTTTTTTTTTTTTTTTTTTTTTAAAGCAAAATAAAGCTGATTTTCTGTTTCCTAATAGCCAGATTCCTCTCTTCTTCATAAAATTATAGAAGGGTTTAGGTTGGAAAGGACCTTGAAGATCATCTAGTTCCAACCCCCCTGCCATGGGCAGGGACCCCTCCCACCAGCCCAGGTTGCTCCAAGCCCCATCCAACCTGGCCTTAAACACCTCCAGGGATGGGGCAGCCACAGCTTCTCTGGGCAACCTGGGCCAGTGCCTTACCACCCTCATAGTCAAGAATTTCTTCCTAATACTTAATCTAAATCTACCTTCTTCCAGTTTGAAGCCATCCCCCCTCATCTTATCACTACATGCCCTTGTAAACGCTACATGCCCCAGCTCTCCTGTAGCCCCTTTTAGGTACTGGAAGAAGCTCTAATGTCTCCCCGGAGCCTTCTCTTCTCCAGGCTGAACAGCCCCAACTCCCTCAGCCTGTCCTTGTAGTAGAGGTGCTCCAGCCCTCTTAATTCACTTTAAAGAGCCATGTTTAGGAATTAGATTGTATCATAACATAGTGGTATCACATGTAAGAGTTGTCCCACTTTGAAGCACTGGAAGTACTGGTGAAATACCAGGACTGCTCTTGAGTTCAGGTGATGGTGACAGGGTCAGGCTGAGTCCTTCCATCACACTTTGGTGCCCTCCTTATGGCAACTGTATATCAATGCACGTCTCTTGCACACGTATGCACACATCACACATGCACGGGGCACTTTGCTAAAAGGCTGGTGAAGGACCTTTCATTCTTGTTACATTCTTTGCTATTTATTCCTGAAGATTATTTATGTTTAAGCAAAAGAGCGATATAAGCTCTGGGGACTCCAATAACTGCCTTCTTTATGGCATATGAGCATCTTCTTTAGGCGTTTAAAATATTTTTCTGAATAATTTGGGGTTTAACCACATTTGTGTCATTATATTCCAGACGGTATGATTAATAATAATAACCTACTTGTATGGCACTGTGCAGCATCAGAGCCACAGGCATCAGCTGATTAATGTCATGGCATTCTTATGAATCAGATAACTAAGCACTATCAATCCCTTTGGTGGGGTTGACTGGTTAAGTGTGAGAAACATAGGTGAGATGACATTAATTGTTCAAAGAGGGAACAAGTGGCAGAGGTGAAAGGCAATATCCCTTTTCCGCATCTGTACCCAGTCCACATAGTACCTTTGAGCGTCCTTCAGTGCTTAGACCTTAATGTCTCCTATGATGGTTTGGTTTCTGCTGGTCTGTCTCTAGTTTGATATACTCACACGCATGCATTTGTGAGTGCGTATATTATAAATATATATAATACATAATATATTAATTCATGCATTTCTATGTGGTTATGATCACTCTTTCAGAACCTCCTAAACCATATAAGCAGGTTTAGCACAGTCGTCATCTTTGGACCGGCAAAGTCCCGGTTTGAATGCGCTGATGATTAGCCATTAAAGGGGATTCGCCATTTTACAAATACAGGTGTTTCCGTGTACTCACAGGTGCGTATATGCTCTTTACAGCCATATGGTGTCCTAACCTTTGTTTTCTTTGCAGATATATCAGAAATTGAAAGCTGTGGAACACATGCACGTTTATAACATACAGGATATTCCAGACAGGTTTTTCTACAAAAAAGGAAAATTTGTGTCTCCTCTAACTCTCGTGGCCGAGGAAGGATGGTTCATAGTAGAGGTAAAGTACAGAAGCAAAATACTTAGACGTGAATGTGAAAAGGTGCGATATATGAAAACAGTAAGAAAAACTTAAGATTCTATGCCAGGCATTGAGTTACAGTGTTACGTCATTTACTTGGGCTGACTACAAAACTAATGTCAAATATTGCTGTGTGCTTAGAAGAGCCTAAAGGCATGGCGGCTATGCTGAAGGTACACAAAGTTAAATAGTCAAGACGGTTCTTTTTTATGTGTCATCGTAAAATGGGAGGAGCTTTTGTGTTTCCCATTCCAGTTCTGTTGCTTTACTCCTCGTCCCCCTGCCCATCTACCTTCACCTCACACGCAAGAAGAGCGTTTCCATTTCAAGACCTTACTTTCCCTCCAATCAGTACTGCTCTGGGGCAACCTTTCCTCCTGCCTGGCTTCCCACCCACCAGACTCTGTCCTAAAAGTGCCCCATTTCTCCCAAGCTTTCCAGTCTCAGAAGGGTCAGAGATATCCAGGGCACACACTGAAATCCGAGGGCTTCTTACACAGAGAATTGATTAGACTTGCACATGAAGAGATTTTTCATACCAACTTATTTTGTTACTATAAAGAATAATAATAGCAACTATTATTATTATTATTATTAAGTACTTGTGTTGCTACAGAGCATCTCCACATTACAGCTATTAACTGCACCCCACCACAGCTCTTATAAGTGCGTAAACTGAGGAGCAGTACTAAGTGATTTGCCCAAGGCCATACATTAAGTCAGTAATTTGGTGACAGAATCAAGAAGTCCTGGTTTTTGATAGTGTCCCAGCACCATCATTAGCTCCGTTGCCTCACAGATGATTGTAACTCAGCTGAGCATCTTCTTTCATGACCTTCAGAGATAGAATCACAGAACCATAGAATGGTTTAGGTTGGAAAGGACCTTGAAGATTATTGAGTTCCAACCCCCCTGCCATAGACAGGGACATCTCCCACCAGCCCAGGTTGCCCAAGGCCACGTCCAGCCTGGCCTTGAACACCTCCAGGGATGGGGCAGCCACAGCTTCTCTGGGCAACCTGTGCCAGTGCCTCACCACCCTTAAAGTGAAAAACTTCTTCCTAATGTTTGATCTAAACCTGCCCTCTTCCAGTTTAAACCCATTCCCCCTCATCCTGTCATTACAAGCCCTAGTGAAGAGTCCTTCCCCAGTTCTCCTGTAGACCCCCTTTAGGTACTGGAAGGCCACAATAAGGTCTCCCCGGAGCCTTCTCTTCTCCAGGCTGGACAGCCCCAGCTCTCTCAGCCTCTCCTCATAGGAGAGGTGCTCCAGCCCTCGGATCATCCTCGTGGCCCTCCTCTGGACCTGTTCCAGCAGGTCCATGTCTTTCTCATGTTGAGGACTCCAGAGCTGGATGCAGTACTCCAGGTGGGGTCTTATGAGAGTGGAGTAGAGGGGCAGAATCACCTCCTTTGACCTGCTGGCCACACCAGATGATACCCATCCACACCAGATACCAGGCTTTGCTCAAGGTGGTCCACACCGCCACGTTTCTCACTAGCCAACCCAACTTCAGGATAATAATTTCTACAGCTGAATAAAAATGCACCTCTGAAAAAAAACTGATTGCTTTTGAGTATGGATGGGTGAGCACTGCATTTCTGGTTAAAAAAAAAAAAAAGTACAAAAAAGCTGGAGTTAAGATCCAGACATGTAAAACATGAATCTGAAACATTTTTGCCAAAATGATTTAAAAGAATTACAACTAAACCCTTTTGTACAGAGGTTCAACACAGAACATTTGTACATATTCTGTAAAAAAAAAAAAAAAAAAAGGCATTTTAAAAAAAATCACTGAAACTCTGACAAACCTTAATAACAGTGCAGCAAACACTGCTGCTATGGTAATTACTTCTGTCTCTCTGCCCATTCCTTCCCATTGTTTCTGATTTTCAAGAATGTCCTCTCATTAATGCTGTCAGATTTTCCTTCTCCTCGGTACATTTTCATTATCTGTGAATGGGATGTGAAAATGAAAGTTTCCTGTCATATTTTTAAAGCAATAATTGAGCCTTCTATTATACTTCCTGCCCAAACCACTGAAGAGAGGACGTTCAGCTCTTTCCTGTCATGCTCACGGGCTGTTTTAATTCTCTGTCGGTTAGTGGATAGCTATAAGCTGTTTGAAAAAAGGATTTTTTTTGGTTTGTTTTTTTTTTTGAGAAACAAAGGGGATGTACCTGGAGGGTTAGGTTGTTTCTTTTTTTCCCAGCCAGGAGCGTAGGAATAAAAGCCCATCCACATTTCGGTTAAAGTAGGATGAAGAGGGATTTCACGCACCTTACTGGAGCTGGTCCGTTAATAGTATTACCTTGTTCCTTCCACGTGAGTGAGCGGTCCCCATCCTTTGAGCAGAATTTCTCTTGCCTGCCACGGCGGCATTAGCCTTCAGGGCCACGTGCTCCCCCTGTACCCATCCCAGGGTACTTTCCCAAATTTTAGGGAACAACTGCTGTGCCGCTTCTAACCATCCACATGCAGGGAAAGGTCCATCGTCGGCAGTCCCAGGCACGCCAGCTCCTGTCATCTTTGAGGAGCAGCTCCAGCCCAAGCTTAGGCTGAGCATGAAAAATTTATCATCTCGGTTGTGAAAGAAAGTAATAGGTTTTCTATTACCCAACTAGCAGCAAAAATAATGGAAATGGCTGTGCCTTTGGCTGCACATCTCGCAGCAAATAGCTATCTCCTGGTGTGTGGGTGGGTGATGGAATGGCGCGGTACCTCCTGCGTTTGCCATTGCTGGGGAACCAGCCGAGTCCACAGCACCTGGCAAGACCGTGGAGAGGTCATGACAGTGCCAAAGAAACGCCACAAATTAGACGTGACTTGGCTTGGCTGGAGCTGACGCTAACAAGTGCTGTACAGGTTGTCTAATGGTGAGCAGCCCAGTGACAATTAGTGCCCGGGATCTGCAGGAAGCAGAGGCAGAGCTTAAGGAGATGCTGTGGTAGGAAGAGGGGAAGGAATCTGTTTTCTCCTTGGCTTGCCCTGAGCGCTGTCAGTGAAGTAGATGGGGACAAGGAAAGCGATTTAGTTTGTCAGCTAAAACTGTTTAATTATGTGCTACATCTGCTGAGTATTACATACAAAGAAACACAAGGGATACTCCTGGGGTTCCCCTGGAAAGCAGCAGGAAGAGCTACACCCCATAGCCATAACTGTTGCCGTCCTCAGTGCTCCTGCACACAGTCAGATTTCTTCTGGGGCAGAGGAGGAAACCAAAACCAGACAAAATCAATGTTTGTAAAAGGAAAGGGTTGCTCGGTCAATCTGCTTCACCATCTGCAGGGGTTGCAGCACCACTTGCCCAGGGTGGGAATGTGGAAGACTTTGTTGGGTCATCTTCCGGGCTCCTGTGACGGAGTGTGAAGCCCAGACCTGGCGCTTTAGGGAACTGTAGCTCCTTCTCTGTAACCCTTGGAGAAATTAATGCCAGAGGTCTGACGAACTGCCAGCTGATTTTCTTCATCTAAGTGAATTTCCTGCCATAGTTTTGGGGATATCTGGAGTGTCACGTCTGCTGCCATCCCTGGAGAGCATGGGACAAGAGAAAGTCGGGGAGAGGGCTGGTCCAGCATTTTGAGCTATCGCAAGGGACTCTAGGGGCCATAAATGGCACTATTGCTGGAAGAGCTGTTAATAGGGAGCAGGAGAAAGTAACAAAGTGATTTAAAAGTATGAATTTGAAGTAATTTAGAAGTATGAATTAAGTGCAATATGGGCAAGGAAACACAAGAATTATGATGACAAATTATTAAAGCATGGATCCATGGAGCAGGGAGAGAAAACTGAGAGTGGTCTACACCAGGGAGAGGGGAACTGTCTGAGGTCCAAGTCTGTGTTCCTTGGAAGGAACCTCATTGCTTTAATACTGAAATAAGCAAGGAGAAGAAATAATGCTAATTAGGAAGTATGTAGTAGGGGTGATACTTGTATTGTTTAGGCTGACTAGCCAAACGGAGCAAAACCGACTTCTTTTTCTTTGGTGCCAATGGCATGTCAGGCAGAACCATCAAACCCATGGGAGTGCGTGGTGCCAGGTGGGAGAGCCGTGTGGCATGCAGCGGGAGAGGGACACAAGTGTCACATACGGCTGTGATACTTTGTGCTCATGGCAGAAATTTAGATGAGAGGCAAAAAGCACCAGTACAGGTTAGGGGTGGACCTGCTGGGAAGCAGTTCTGAGGAGAAGGATTTGGGGGTCCTGGTAGATAGTAAATTATCCATGAGCCAGCAATGTGCCCTTGTCGCCAAAAAGGCCAATGGAATCCTGGGCTGCATAGGGAAGAGTGTGGCCAGTAGGTCGAGGGAGGTCATTCTCCCCCTCTACTCGGCACTGGTGAGGCCACAAGTGGAATACTGTGTCCAGTTTTTGGCTCCCCAGTTCAAGAGGGACAGGGAACTGCTGGAGAGAGTCCAGCGAAGGGCAACTAAGATGATTGAGGGATTGGAGCATCTCCCTTATGAGAAAAGGCTGAGAGAGCTGGGACTCTTTAGTCTGGAGAAAAGAAGGCTGAGGGGAGACCTTATTATTGCTTATAAGTACCTAAAGGGTGGGTTGGAGAAGGATGGAGCCAGACTCCAGACAGAGCAGTGGCACAGGCTGCCCAGGGAGGGGGTGGAGTCCCCACCTCGATGCAGTCCTGAGTAATGTGCTCTGGGCAATCCCGCTTTAGCAGGGGAGTGGGACTAGATGATCTCTAGAGGTCTCTTCCAACTCTGAAAATTCCGTGATTCTGTGAAAGTTGTCCACCCCGCTCAGATGGGAGACAGCTACTTGCTGAGACGGTGAAGCTGGGGGTCTGACGGGGTGGTACAGCAGACGGTGACACCGGGTGGCACACCAGGGTGGCCCGTGGCACGCTGTGCTCAGCCAGGCAGGCTGACACTAACCGCGCTTGGCTGTTGTCGCCCAGAGCAGGGACAAGCTGCCTTTCTGGGAGAACGGGACCGGGAGGAAGGAGGCCTGGCAGAACGGCTGGCACGGCTACGACAACGAGCTGATGGACATGAGAGCCTTCTTCATCGCATACGGGCCAGGTACAATGCCACCGTCCCCGGTGTCCTGCTCCCCCTGCAGCCCCAAGGCCCCAGCATCCCTACAGCCCTGGCACGTCAGGATCCTGACGTGGCACTCTGTGACACCCAAAAATTACAAATAGATGGCAGGATTTCCTCGCCGCGGCTCGACGCTGGGAAAGTTTCTGGCTGTATCTCTCTTTTAAAGCTGGAGAAACAGAGCAGAGGGACGTGAAGGAATTCGGTCAGCTCCTCTCCAACATCCCAGCACAGTAACTCTATCCCTTTGCCCTTTTTGCCAAGACTGGCCTACATCTTTAATTCTATTTGAAACATATGAATTCTCCTTTCATTTGTGGATTCGGACTCGCTAAGGAAAAGTATGTTCTTTGGGAAGGTCGCAGGATAACTCATCCACCTGTCCGATGGGCAGATGCAAAACCCCCGGTTTCCACTCCATCAGGCCCTTTAAAACCTGCTGAGCACCAGGCTGCAAATGCAGACAGGAACGAAAGCAAAGCAGAATGTGCAATGCAATTATTTCAGGCTATTAAATCAAGCACGCACAGTAAGGTAGATCCTGTACTAAATCATTTTATTAATTTATCTTTTAGAGTTTTTAGAATAAAACCGGACTAGAAGTAGAAATAATGGGTAAAAACATTTAAAATGTTTTTGCCGAGCTGTGTTGTAAATTGTCTAGTGTGCCACATCCCCACCTGCTGGGTGAGTCCCTGGAAAAGCAGAGGAGCCCTTACCCCGCAGCCCCCCGCGTTTCAGGAGCGGAGCCCCAAACTGCAGGATGCCAACTCCTCTCTGCCTTGTTTCCCCCCCCCCTGCAGCCTGGCGGGCATACAGCCGCTGCCCAACAATGGCTCCTGGTCCAGGGTGGAGTGCATGCTCCGAAACGTGGCCCCTTCGGCACCGCTCCCCAGCTGCGCCCTGGCACTAGCTCTGCTCTCCCTCGTCGTCGAGCACATCTCCTCACTGTGAGCCCCGAACAATGTCGGTCAGTGTCACCAGCAACTCCATCCTTCTCTCTCTGTATTTTCATTATTATTTTTTTTTTAAAGTTCTTCATTTGAATAATAGCTTCATTAATAGAGTGCTGCCCCCCGCTCCTCCGTCGTGCTCCACCAGGCGTGACTCTGACCCATCCTGCTTTTGTGCAGGACCCAGCCAGGTTTTGCGTTGCTCTAAACACAGCCAGGAAAGTCAGTGTTGCTACTCTGCGTTTACAGCACTGGCAATGAGAGCAGAAACCCGGCTGGCTAGCCGTAAAATTTTCTGGTGGGTGCCCGTGGAGATCTCTGAGCATCAAACCCCAGCATCTTTAACCGGCAGGCTCACCCTGACTCCCCATACCGAGAAGCTCAGGGGTGGAGATATAGACCTCTGTGCATTTAATTGGGTTCTTTCCAATCACTCCTTCATCTCCAGCTCCATCACCATCAGAGTCCCACCTTCCCCTTACAGTGCCAGACAAGCTCTGTCTACACCAACTCATTCTTCAAAGAGCCAAGTGCTTTGCTGAGTAATCATAATGCTGAGAGAGGAGGATGGGCAGCAGAGCAGTGAGAGCATCCTACTTCTCTCAGCCTTTCCTTCTTCTTTTCCCCCAGAGGGAGCCCTGGCCCTGCACGCCTCCAGGGCTGGGCTTTCCTCATGGACCACAACGGGGAAGTGGGCTGGGAAAGGGGAGAGCGATAGAAATCCTCCACTTCAAAATCAGGAGGAAAGGGAAACAGCTCAGCGATCAGGAGAAAGTAGGATGAGGCATTTTAACAGCCTCTCTGCTTTTCCTGGTGAAGATAATATCATCTACTCAGGTTTGGGGGGGTTGTACCCAGTTGCATTTCTGAAGGGTTTTTTAACACTTACTGCATTTCTGCCAGCTCTTGCTCTGTACACCTCTGCCCACTGAGCAGCAAGTTCCCCCTTATCCTGCAGCAGGGAGAGAGGTCTACACTGATGGATCTCCCACCCTCTCAGTTAACCCTAGCTAAGATTCCCACCACGGGCTATCAAGCCCCAACAAAGTTGCAATAATAAAGTTAAATAGCAGGAGAAGATGGAGCTGTTGTCGGAGATAACGCCTCTGATGGTTAGGTCAAATGGATGATGCAATCCTGAAAACATCAATATGACAGATATATTAAATCCTTGGAAAACCTGATTTTGCCCTACTCGTTCACTCCAGCGCAGCCATGGATCCACCTTGGGGCGATGCTTAACACAGGGCTGGTGGCAAAGCCACCATCAAGGTCTGTTAGCTCAGAAGATTAACTACACTTAATGGTTTAATCATCTAGTTGTCACAGTCCTTGGTGGTACACACTGGGATGTATGTACGCATGCCACAGTGGGTCATTTTACATCATTAAATTTCTACTGTGAAATTAGCTCATCTAGAACAGGGCTGTAAGTGCCTGATCCTGCAAAGTGTCCTTTCCTCTTCGGGAGGCTGTGGCCTTCAGCGATGCCTTTGGGAGCGCTCAGTGCTTTTTCCGATATACCTCTGAACGAGGAGCTTTCCATGACAAACTGCCTTTGGAATGGTTTAGGTCCCTCCCCATGCTAAATAAAACCTGTAGGACTTATTATTCCTATGGATCCAGAGTCAAACACGATCCAGGTATGTGTGGTACAGTGAGTTTAAGGGTGAATGATCACACCGTGGAAAAACTACCAAAACCAAGCACCAAATTAAACTTGACAAAAGACTTCTGTAATAGCTGTAAAGATTTATGTAATGTGTTTTTAAAGCTCAAGTGAACCATCAAATCAATTGGGGAAAAAAAAGGGAGAAAATCAGTCTTTGTTATTAGACTGTTCAGTATAAAAGGCAATTTAGTGCTTTCGAAGCATTTGCAGTAGCTGTAAAACAAGCACCTATTGTTCAGAGTTCCCTGTTGCTCTTTAATGGACCAGGCTCAATGAATTCACTGGAGCGCATTTTTAAAGCAAAAAAAAAAAAAATAATTATCAGTATACAAGGTAACCAAATGACTAAATTACAAAGTTTTGTTTGAAGATCAACAGGATACGTACAGTCAGCGCCTGCTAATCCCTCCGCAGCCTGCCCTTTTAACTCTTACAGTGAGCAGAACCCAAGGCCTCTTACAGAAGAAAAGGTCCTAAAATTATAAAGGTATATCCAGATTCTCAAATTATACAAGCAGAAATTGGAAATGAGAAATGGGGTCCATCGAGTTGTTCCAGGGATGGCCCATTACACATAAGCCCAACGTTGATCCCTGGGATTACTTTGTGTAACTCGTTTTTGTCAGTTGTCCACGTGCAAATACTGCAGAATAAATCTTTTAATGGCAATATGATTTGTTTGACCTTAATGCCACCATTGCATTTACGGCAATACACCTCGAAAGATACTTGAACTGTAAAAGGGAAATTTGACAGTAGACCTACAAGAAGCTCATTAGCTTCAGGAGAACTACAGCTTATTCTTTTTTTTCTCAGAAGTGCACCTTTCTTCCTCAGAAATGTTGTTCCTCTGAATCAGTTCATGTTCTCATTCAAAAATCAAATGTCTTGACTAGCATATTTTTCTGTGTACTATGCAACGGAGGTGGGTGTATTTTAAAAACTATTTCTGAATGATGTTTTTGTACAATGACTGATTGTGAATGAGTGAATAATTCTGAGAATGCTGTTAGAAAAAAAATATGCATCTTTTTGTAAATACTGTAAGATTTTTTGAGAAAAAAAAAAAAAGAACCAAACCAAGACCTCTGTAACACCTTGCCTTTCTTGTTTGATTGCTGCATCAAAGTGTGATAAACAGTGTTTGAAGCTTGTGCTGATTAATGATCAGAAAGATGAATGATAACATTGTTTAGAAATGGCAAAGTTGTCAGCATGTAAATTAGGGACATTAAATACATCACACGAGATACTGTGGCTTGTATATGCAGCCCTTTTGTTCCAGAAGTATTTCAATATTTAACCTTTTGAACATCCACCCAGTGACATGTAATTCACACTAGCAAATGGACATGACAAACCATTTTGCTCTCCAAAGAAGAGAGGTGAACCCTGGATGCTCTCCCCAGATCCACCATGTTACCATCGCAGCAGTCGCTGGTACAAAATCGGGTGCGTTGTCACTGGTACCAGGGTTCAGTCGGTTCGGGCTTTCCAAAGCCCTCACGGTACACCCCACTTACCAGCACAGGGTGATGCAAATGGCAGCGAGACCTCAAAAATCAACACCAAGGGCCTCAAGGTCAAGGGGTCCTACTCCCGGTTTAAGCTCCTCAAACCAACAATGTAGTTCATGGAACAGACTGACTTAATAGAAGTCTCCAAACCTACTCAGTGAAATTTCTCTTGTTGTCATAGACTAATAGAACCATAGAATGGTTTAGGTTGGAAGAGACCTTAAAGACCACCTAGTTCGAACCCCCCTGCCCTGGGCAGGGACACCTCCCACCAGACCAGGTTGCTCAGAGCCCCATCCAGCCTGGCCTTAAACACCTCCAGGGATGGGGTATCCACAACCTCTCTGGGCAACCTATTCCAGTGTCTCTAAAGAAGTTCTTCACAATATCTATTCTAAATCTCCCTTCTTCCAGTTTAAAACCATTGTCCTTTGTCCTACCACTACTCTCCCTGATAAAGAGTCCCTCCCCAGCTTTCCTGGAGCTCCTGTAGGGACTGGAAGGGGCTCTAAGGTCTCCCCAGAGCCTTCTCTTCCCCAGGCTGAATACCCCCAACTCTCTCAGCCTGTCCTCACAGCAGAAAGGCTCCACCACTCGAAACATCTTCATATCCCTCCTCTTGACTCGCTCCAACACGTCTATGTCCTTCTTGTGCTGAGTGCCCCAGAGCTGGAGGCAGCACTGCAGGTGGGGTCTCCCCAGAGCGGAGCAGAGGGGCAGAACCCCCTCCCTCGCCCTGCTGGCCACGCTGCTGGGGATGCAGCCCGGGATGGGGTTGGCTTTCTGGGCTGTGAGCGCACATTGCCAGCTTGTGTTGAGCTTCTCACCAACCAGTACCCCCAAGTCCTTCTTGGCAGGGCTGCTCTCAATCCATTCTCCACCCAGCCTGGATTTGTGCTTCGTATTTTCCTTACATTAACTGACCACAAGGGCATGGAGGGGGCAATGGAGGAGAAGCCAAGTTGGGGAAAGCAGGGCAGGAGGACCAATGAGTCCTTTAATTCACAGCAGGACTCTTTGAACCGGCAGCACTGCCAAGGTCTGCCCAAAGGTGCTCCCCCCATGTCCCATGAACACAGGTCCTGCAAACAGGAGGATGCTGAGGGACTGCATGCACGGGGACAACACAGGAGTCAGCCTCTGATAGCTCCCCGTAGCAGTGCCAAAAATTGCAATTTCCCACCCATATAAGCTGAGCATTTTTTTAGCAATGAGTTTGTGACCATGTAAATGGTACAACCGGCCAGGGTGCAACGGACGAGTCCTCCAGCATCCCTCAAAATGCAGCCCATATTGCCCAAACAGACTTCAGCATCACAGAAACGCTTTCCCATCATCCCAGACGCTGGCTGGAGCCCTCCACAAGTACCAAGACTTCACAACTAAGAGGTGAATTAAGAGATTTCGTGGTGCTGGCCACCTTCCTCATCTCCTAACTGCTCGGTAGAAGTCAAAACATCTATCAGACGTTAAACTCCACACCTCAGGGGGCGATGCAGACCGAATGAGCTCTGGGCACTGGGAAGTGAAAGGTATTGGAAAAGCTCCGTGTAACGTTTCCCCCTCCTCCTTTTCCTCACAGAGCTGCAGCAGGAGGGCAGACTGCTGCAAATCCGATGGGGATTTTTTAAGAAAACACGGGCTAATGAAGGGAAAAGCTTGAAACCCTCCATTTTAGCATAATTAGTCTTTAACAGCTGTTTTGAAAGATAACTTTCACCTACATGGAAAAGTGATTTTGGCATAGGTACTGAAACACATTTATGTTAAAGGAAGGTTATTGTCAAGTGCTCAAAAATAAGAACATTTCAG